GGAGGGGGAGGGAGGGGCGGCGGCGGGAGGGGGCGGGTGGGCTTAGTACGACTTACGGCAAGCATGGGGGGTTGGACATGGGCATGGGTACGGACATGGGCATGGGTACGGACATGGGCATGGGTATGACCATGGGTACGGCTGGTCTGGGCTTGGTTGGTCCGACAGGGTGTACATGACACCGCTGCCAGGCGACGACGGGAAAGAGTGGGCGGTGGGCGAGGCCGTGGCCACCGGTGCCCGCGGCCTCATCCCGCTTGCCTTCTTCCAGGTTCTGCCCGAGCGGACTGGCAAAGAGTCGATCACTGCAGCAGGCTCGGCTGCGGCAGTGGCAGCGGCAGCGACGGCGGCAACGACGGCGGCAACGACGGCGGCTGGCGGAAGTGATGGGCCAGGTGCCGGTGCTGCTGGCGAGAGCAGCAAAGACTCGCTTGAGGTCGGCCAGGGTGTGGCCATCGGAAACGAGCGGAAGAAGTCTTTTCGGGCCTCGGTGGTGGCTAGCGGTGGCGAAGTGGTGCTTGACGGCTACGCCGGACTCGTGCAGGCGTACACACAGTCGTTCATGAGCGCCGCTCCGGACACGCCGCATCTGTTTGCTCTCGTCACCGACGCCATGTCACAGGACTGGCTGCGGGCCGAGACATGGGATGCGCGGACGTTCCGGCTTTGTTTCCTCTGCGAGGCAGTGCCATGGCACTTTGCTACGGCGATGGGCTCGGCAGCACAAGATGACGTGCTCTCCGAGGGCTATGCGGTTGTGCAGCCGCTCGAGTTTGTGATCACCTTTGCGCCGCTCCTTATTGCATGGCTCAACATTCTGATTGTGGGCCAGACCTCGCGAGAGACACCGGACAAGATGGATCTGACAGCATTTGATGGCCTCGCTCAGCCGGCCCAGCAGCAGGTCGAGCTTCAGCTGATGCTGTTTGGCCACCGGCGGTCGGTGTTCCGACACCTGCGACGCGCTGTGGCGACGCTGGTGCAGCAGGCGAGCAGCGCGTATCCGGAAGCCATGGCTCTCGCGCTGCGGGCAGTGAGCGTGGCGCCCGAGGCGACGACTCCCGACGACGTGCGCGCCATGGTCACACCACAGCTCTGCCGCAAGTTCCAGGCCTTTGTCCACGGCCTCGACCCGGCCGCCACCGAGCTGCGGTCGTGGTCGGGCATGCTCCGTGATGGCATGACGATGGCCGACGGGTACATCTGCCTTGACCACTGTTCGCCCGAGTCAAAGATGTCGACTCAAGCGACGTCGATTCTCACCGGTGGCTTGCTACGAACGCCATCGCCGCCGATCACCCCACTCCGTGGCCTGCTGGCAATTCTCGGCGAGCCCGCCGGCGGCAGCAGCGCTACTGCGCTGCCCGAGGAGCTGCTCCTACCGGCAAGCTCCAGCCCGGCGCCGCCGCCGTCAGTCGTGGTGTCGGGTGAGCCCGCGAGCCGCGATCGGGCAGGCTCGTCGGCGTCGGTGCCGGAGTCGCCGAGCGCGGGAGTCGCAGCAGGTGTGGCGGCAAAGCGGACAAGCACTCGCGCGGTGTCGCTCAACGTCCAGGCGGCCGCTTCTAAGGTCGGAACACTCTTCAAGCTCGGCGGTTTCCGCAAGGGCTCATGGCAGCCGCGGCACTGTGTCCTCAACCGCGACCACTTTGTTTACTACAAAAAGTCTGGCGACCGCGAGCCGCAAGGATGCATCCACCTCGCCGGCTCGGTCGTTGAGCTCGACGCGTCGGGCGACGTCAACCGCGAGGCGACGTCGATCATCCTGGTCGACAACGAGACCAAGTCGAGATACTTTGTGCGTGGCGAGAGCGATGACGTGACGCTCGAGTGGTACACCTCGCTCCTTGCTGCTGCCCGCGACTTTGCGCGGACCAACGCGCCTTGCCCGTTCCGCAACCTCCGGCGGTCTTCCATCTCGCGCATGGTGGACTCGGTCAAAAAGAAGCGGCTGACGGCCAAGGTCTCGTCCGACTACGCCACCGACACGACGCCGATTCTCCTCGAGGGCATCCTTCACAAGCGCGGCGGCCGTTCAGGCAAGAAGTGGCAGCCGCGGTTCTTTGTTCTCAAGGCCAACACGCTGTACTACTTTGTGGGCGCACAGGATGTCGAGCCGCGCGGAACAATTGAGCTCGCTGCCCTTGCCGGTGTCTCCATTCCCGATGGCGCCCAGGACCGCGACTTTTGCTTTGTCCTCCAGTTGGGCCTCCGCGCAGGCGACCGCGCCAAGGACATTGTCCTCTCGGCCTCGTCACAGCAAGAGCTGGCAGAGTGGGTCGGCACGCTCAACAATCTTGTGGCCCAGGTCATGGCCGCCCGCATCTCGCCCGGATCGCCGTCGGCCTCCGCGTCTACCGGCTCGCCGTTGTAAATACGTCTGACTCCCGCCTCAACCCTCGCCTCCAGCCAGGATCTTGCCCAGCTCGGCCTGGGCCATGTACGCCGACACACAGTCCGAACCAGCCACGTCCAGCACCAGCGCGCCCTCGAGCTTCACACCGACCACGTCGACCATCCGCCGCAGCAGCGCCCACTCGAGGACAGCGGCGTGAGACCGATCGTGTGGCGGGAGCGGCGACGTTGCCAGCGCGCCGTGCGGCAGGCCAAGAGCGCCAGCAGCCAGGAGCAGCGAGGCGTGAACAGCATGCGGGGCCGAGTCACGGGCGACGGGCGCCGCTGAGCCGAACAGCGCCACACAGAGAGCCGCCATAGCCGGTGCGTGCGGATGGGCTGGTGGTGGGGCAGGGGCGAGGCCAGCCAGTGACTTGCTGCTGCTCCCCTCGAGTGCCACCACCAGTGCACCGAGCATGGTGGCAATGTCGGCCTCGACGGCTTCGTTGTCGGCCTTTGGCACAAGGGTGTCGGGTGCGGGGGGAGAAGACATGGAGTAGGGAGGAGGAGGGGGAGGGGGGGGGGGGGGGGGGGTGGGGGTGGTAGGGGTATGAAGAGTAGTTTGC